TTGACATCCTGCGCCTTAAAGAAAGTAGGACGCGAATATCGGAGGCGCGCAAACATGGATTACCGACCCACGTATTTGGCGCGCGGTCGCCAAATCCATGGATCGGGGGGGGGGCCCTCCTCAAACTGCGGCCGGCGCCGCCTCGTTCGGCGGCGGAAATCCACGACTTCCCATGGAAGCGGAACCCGTCGCGAATCCACGCCGCCTTGATCCATGTTTCGGGCGTTGGCAGAACTGGGTTTAGTGGGACCTGGTTTTGTGATGTGTACTGGGGACGCCCCCCCCCCCGTTCCACTAACCAGAACTGCCGTCACGCGAACAAAACACCAGCTACGGCAGACCTGGTTTGGTGATTCTGGCAAACTTAGGGGCTCCAGGGCCTACTGCTAACCGGGTCCCCTTACCTGCTGGCGATCGCCTGAGGATAGAGTCATCGGCCTGACCTAAGGAACGATAAATACGGAACGAAGCCCCTTTTTGTCCAAGTAGGTCTACGATGTCCGAAGGAACGGCCGAGCCCCTCATCGGCAAAATGAACCCGCGCGTCCAACATCTGAAGGAACACCAGGGGGACTCGCCGCCAAAAAGGTAGCGGAACGCATGCAAACCCAAGGAACGACCGAGCCCCTCTTGAAAAGTGAGTGTTCCTTATTCCAGCCGCTCGCTGTAGGGCCAAACATCTTCCGCTCAGAGCCAGGCGGCCGTCCGGGCAGGGCAGGACAGCGGCACGGCAGCGGCGGGAGGGGGCGCGGCAGCGGGGTCCAGCTCGCCCAGAGAGAGAGAGAGAGCGGCGGGGGGCTCTGGCGGCAGGAGCCGCCGAACTTCGGGTCCGAAGGGGGAGGTCGTTTTTTTGCCCCACGACAGAGAACGAGAGAGGCATGTGAGGCAGGGGGGCGGGGCTGACTACGCACCGGCCCGCCCGAACCTAACCCGAAGGCCCAAACCTCGGGCCGGGCGAGGGGGAACGGGTTCCGCATGCGTGTTTCCGACGCCCCCCCCCCCCCCCTGGGATCGGAGGGCAAATTGGGGCCTTCGGGCTCGGTTGAGATGGTTTCGTGGGTGGTGAGAATCAGGGGACAGAAGAAAACAGTGCACGTCGGTCAGAAGAAGCAAGTAAAAGGATGAAGTGGGAAGGCGGATACAGCAGATTGGGTTCAGGCACTCGCAGAGAATAGCAGACACACAACAGAAGAGCAGATCGATGCCTGAGGCAGGGGGGCGCCAAAAATAGGCTGGGACCTGGGCATCCAAAACTACCGACTTTCGACGACCAGCGATAGCGGAGGAAGGCGAAGATGGCCAAGACTACGGAGTGCTCTGCGCGATTCGCCCCTGGTATTACTCTGACGCTTTTTGGTCGTCTTGTTCCTCCCCGTGCTCACTTTTCTCTGTCCAGGTTCCAGCTTTCGTTCAGTTGGTGAGCGTTTTCTTATTCGGCGTTTCGACATTGGGCGGAAGGGGGGTGAAGGGGGGGGTCTGGCTCCGGACCTCTGCTTAGTGCGACTGTTCGGGACCGTGCGGCCTCTGGGGGAGAGACTCCGCCTGCTCGAAACAAGTGCCAAAAAGCAGCCAAGATCTACTCCATGGGGGAGGGGGAAGGAGGGGGTGGGGGTGCGAGGGCCCGCGCCGACTGGCAAAAACAACGAAGAAGAAAGCGATCACCAACTCGTGGGGTGTTTGAGCGTCGAGGGGGGGGAGGCTATTGGGGCCCGTCCCGATCGGCAAAACAATGAATAAGAAAGCGACCACCAGCTCGTGGGGTGCTTGAGCGTCGAGGGAGGGGAGGGCATTGGTGCTTGTCCCGATCGGCAAAGCAACGATGAAGAAAGCGACCGCCAGCTCGTGGGGTGCTTGAGCAACGAGGGGCCGGGGAGCGGGGGAGCGCGCGCGCGCGACCGCGGCGGCGCGACGGTGGCAGGCCCCCTCCCGGTGCCCGAGCACCGCCAGCGACCAGGCCATGTCGGTGAGCGCCTGCACGCGGGGAGCCTCCTCCTCCTCCTCTTCCTTCTCACTCCTCCTCCTCTCCTCCTCCTCGTCCCTCCTCTTCCTCCTCCTGCTCCTCCTCCTCCTCCTCCTCCTCCTCCTCCTCCTCCTCCTCACTCCTCCTCGTCCTCCTTCTCTCCTCCCTCCTCCTCCTCCTCCTCCTCCTCCTCCTCCTCCTCACTCCTCCTCCCTCCTCCTCCTCCTCCTCCCTCCTCCTCCTCCCCTCCTCCTCCTCCTCCTCCTGCTCCGCTCTCCTCCTCCCTCCTCCCTCCTCCCTCTCTCCCTCCTCCCTTCTCCCTCCTCCCTCTTCCCTCCTCCCTCTCCTCCTCTCCTCCTCCTCCTCCTCCTCCTCCTCCTCCTCCTCCTCCTCTCTCCTCCTCCTCCTCCCCTCTCCTCCTCCTCCTCCTCCTCCTCCCTCCTCCTCCTCCTCCTCCTCCTCCTCCTCCTCCCTCCTCCTCCTCCTCCTCCTCCTCCTCCTCCTCCTCGCTCCTCCTCCTGCTCCTCCTCCGCTCCTCATCCTCCTCCTCCTCCTCCTCTCCTCCTCCTCCTCCTCCTCCTCCTCCTCCTCCTCCTCCTCCCCCTCCTCCCCCCCCAGGAGGGGGGTAGGGGACGAAGTGGAGAGGTGAGCCGAATAGTAATCGTATAGCGTGCAGCGCGACGGTCCGTTTAGCGTGCCGCATATCGCCAACGTAAGAATTTGTAGCGTGCAGATCCGCTTTGAGACATGGACAACGTATAGCGTGCACGCACGGCTTGATATTTGTCCCAGGTGGTTTTGACCAGGGGGCCGGCGTATAGCGTGCACGGTTATCGAATAATCCCACCAGCCCTTTAGGGCGTCGGTGGTTTAACGAGTTTCCTCTTCCACTCCTCCTTCTTCCCCTTCGGGGAGGGGTTTACCCCTCCCCCTACCCCCTCCCCACTGACCTGGACAGGGGGGGCCGCGATCGGTCAGAGCGTCCAAGATCGACCCCTGGGGGGGGGGCTAAAATTCGACACCCCTCACGAGGATCGTGGCTCTTGAGGGGGGGCTGAAATTTAGGAACCCCCCTTCGTTGATCGATATCCTCCAAGATGGTTCCGAGAAACGTCTTGGAGCCCCCCTCGGGCCCTGCGCGCGGGCGGGCGGAGCGCCGCCCGCCCGCCCGCAAGGCCCAAGAGCCCACCAAAACGTTCGAAGATACTTCCATGACGCCACCAGGGAAGAGGAAGATGAGGAGGAAGAGGAGGAGGAGGAGGAGGAGGAGGAGGAGGAGGAGGAGGAGGAGGAGGAGGAGGAGGAGCAGGAGGTGAGGGAGGAGGAGGAGAAGAGGAGGAGGAGAAGGCGGAGGAGGAGGAGGAAGAGGGGGAGGAGAACAGCTGCCGATCATCGGCGCTCTTCGTTCGAGCGCCTGGTGTAGGATGGGGTGGTGGGGATACTTTACTTTACAGCCGCAGGCGGAAGCGCCGGCGGCGGCAGGTCACGGTCGGGCTACGGCCGTAACAAATTAGCCGGGCGCGCGCGCGGGCCGCGGATCAGGCGGCGGTGCAAGCTGCAGCCCAGGGAGTCTGAGGGGAGACTGGCACCCAAGGAGCAGGAATTACGCCGCCAAAATGGCGCGATGCACACCCCCAGACAAGGGTCGTGTCCGGTCCGACGACCACAGGGTAGTGGGGATCTTGACTCCGTGCAAGAAGAGCGTCAGAGAACACAGGGTGTCTGCCGGGTATGAGCGAGACCGAAGGCGAGAGAGCTGACGCAGGCATCCTGCAGGAAGAAGGGGCTCTGACGGCGCCAGCGAACCGTCGCAGCTTCAGAGTACGCACCAACGCGGCTGTAAAGGCACGACTGAAGTCAGTGACCAACCGATGCACGTCGACCCTCAAAACAACTGCGGAGGGATGCGTTCGCACGCGAAATATCAACGACATGAAGTGACGCAGTGCGGACGGTACACCTGTGCCCGACCTCGGCGCGAGACACGAGGGCCGACCGAAGATGACAGGGCGTGTACCAGGAAGCAACTAAGTGACATAACGAAGAGCAGCTTTCCAGGATACCCTGGCGGACCAGAAAGAGTGGAAATAGCGCTCTGAGAAAGCTGCGCTGACGCATACCCGCTGCAGCACAAGCAACCGTCCGCAGTCACGAAAAAGCCCAGGAAGTGACCGCTCAACAAGGTTGAGCGTGGGAGCGACGATGGGGTGACGTCTGTGCGCGCGGATCCTTGCGGCGAGCGGTGCACCACTAGCCACAGGTGTGGGCACGGCCTGGGCCAACCGCTGCCAAACTGTGGCAAGTCATGCACGGGAGCACACCGGCGACCCAGAGTCCGAGCACGGCCGCAGCGACCTCCGGGTGGGCACTCCAGCCAACGAAGCGGGGCGTACCACTACGCACGGAGACCGCCTGAGCAACGTTGAGACCCATTGACGATAAGCCCAAGCCCAGGGTCGCCCCCAGGGAAGGCGGAGAAGCGCGGCTGAAGGCCGTAGTAACTTGGGGAAACCCAGGGAGCGAGAGCACGGTACTGAAACATAACCCAGGGAGGCAGCTGAAGGCTGCACAGAGTGTGGAAATCGGACGCTGCACCCGAAACTCTTGGGGATGGGGGGGGGCTCAGTCGCCCCACCGTAGCCCCTTCTCGCCACGATCGTCTGGCCTGCCGCCACCACGCTTGCCGCCTGACTGCCACTGGTCGTCGTGCCAGCCAGAGCTCCAGCCACTCTGCCAGTTGTCTCTCGCACCGGTGGCGCCAACCACAATTGAAGAGGGCCCAGCGCATCCAGGGACAGTACCGAGCAAGGAAGACACGAGAGCCCAGCCTGACTGGCGGGCCGTCCTCACTGTGTGGCAGGCACGAGGGCCAGCGACGGGTGGGACCTTGGTTGCTCCTAGGCCCCATCGTATCCGAGAAGACCCAGGGGGCGCCCAGTAAAACCCAAGGAGGCAGCTGAAGGCTGCAAGCTGTATTGACACGTGTGAGGCTGCTGTTGCTGCAGCTGCAGCCCTGCTGCTGCGTCGGCCCCCTGGGTGCCAGTTGCTGCTGCTGCAGCTGCTGCTGCTGCTGCTGTTGCAGCTGCTGCGCTGCTGCTGCTGCTGCCGGCTTCCAGGGGTGCCCTGCTGTTGCTGCTGTTGAGGGCGGGCTGTCGGGCAGGCTGCGGGGCTGGCGGCCGCAGGCGGCGCCCGCGTCTCCAGCTGCGGCCGCTGAGCCGGCGGCGCCATCGGCGCCAGCGGCGCCCGCGGCGCAGGGAAGCCCGAGGGAGGGGCCGCGGGCGGCGGCCGCGGCCCCCGCTGCGCCCGCGGCGCCAGCGGCGCCGGCGGCGCCCGCGGCGCTCGCGCGCCCGCGGCGCCCGCGGCGCCCGCGGCGGGGGGCCGCAATGGCCAATGGGGGGGCGGCCGCAGACTGCGCCGCGGCACCGGCTGCGCCCGCGGCGCCGTCCGGCCCAGCGCGCCCGCGGCGCCGCGGCGCCCGAGACGCAGGGGGGCGCGGAGGGGCGGCCGCAGGCGGCGGCCGCGGGCGCCAGCAGCGCCCGCGGCGCCGGCGTCGCCAGCGGCACCCGCGGCGCCCGCGGCGCCCGAGGGCGGCAGGGGGGCCCCGGGGGGGGCGGCCGCAAGCGGCGGCCCGCGCACCGCAGCGCCCGCGGCGCGCTGCCGTCGCCAGCGGCGCCCGCGGCGCCCGCGGGCCGCCGGCGCGGCGCAGGGAGCCCGGGCGGCCGACGGCCGCAGGCGGCGGCCGCCCCCCCCGCGGCGCCCGCGGCGCCCCGCGGCGCCCGTGGCGCGAGGGGGCCCCCCGTGGGGCGCCCGCAGGCGGCGGCCGTGCACCCTCGGCGCCCGCAGCGCCGGCGAACGCCAAGCGGCGCCCGCGACGCCCGCGACGCCCGCGGCGCCCGGCGCAGGGAGCGGCGCCCGCAGCAGCGCAGGGGGGCGCGGGGGGGCCCGGGAGAGGGGCGGCCGCCGGGAGCGGCCGTGGCAACAGCAGCGCCCGCGGCGCCGGCGGGGCCCGCGGCGCACCAGGCCCCGCCGCGGCCGGGGCACGGCCACCCAGGAGAAGCCAGAGTGAATTGAGGTGAAGCAAGGGCGGGCGCGCCCGCGGCTTAGGTGACGACCTTCCACTGTTTCTGGTCCTTCCGAGGTCCAGCGCGTCGTCCATGGCCCGCATGTCGCAGTTATGGCTGCGGAAGGAGGACAGGAAGTTGACGCACGTTTGCTGGTCGTGCCGCCGCGGGTCGAGCGCGCCATTGCTGCCAGGCAAGGCGTGCTGCTGGGCGAACGCGTGCCAAGCGCCTGTGAACCTCGCTCCCAGGGAGACCTGAAGCCGCTTTATCGTCTCGCCAGGTGTCTCCCCGGGGGGGTCCCACTGGATTCCGCCGATCTTAGCTTTATATGGCTGCTGTCCCGTGTCTGGGTCTGAAGGTTCTGGACAGTGACGCGCGGCGGGACCCGCTACCAGGGGCGGGGTGGTCAGCGGCTGGTCCTCGGCGCGGCGCCTGCTGCTGCTTCTGCGGCTGCTGCTGCTGCGTCCGCCGCCTGCCGTCTGCCGCCCACCAGACCCGCTAGCGCGGTCGGCGTCGCTACGGACCAGGTTTCGGCCCAGGGGCGGCGGAGAGACTGGAGGGTCGCCAGTCACAGAGGCTAGGCAGGGCGCCCACCCGCTGCCACGAAGACGCGCTGGGGGAACGTTCCGGCCGCGCTGCCATTGCTCCTCGGCGCTCGAGGTCGCGCCATTGCCTGGGAGGGAGGGGCCAGGGCAACTGGTGTCAGCCAGGGGAGTGTGGCTGTGGGTGGTTGCCTGTTCCTGTTCTTGCCCATGCTCCCATTCCTGTGCTGGCGCTACTTCCGCACCCTCCCCGTGGGCGGCCGGTAGCTGCTCCTGCTCCGACTGGTTCGCATGCTGCTCCTGCTCGGGCTCTTCCGGCTCCTGCTCCGCATGCTGCTCACGTTCGCTGCTCTGCGACTGCTCCGACTGGTTGGGCCCGCCGCCGGAATCGTCTATGGCTTCGCGGGGCGCGGCGGCTACTGGGGCACGGAAGCCTGGCGGGGACTTGCGGGTTGGCGCGGGCCGCGCGGTTGGCCGCCAGGTAAAGGCCGAGTCGCCTCCAGCAGCTGGGGCGGAGAGGAACGCTGCGCTGTGGAAAAGCGGGGGCAGGCCCCTCCCGTTGGCGCTCGCCTTCAGACCCGCGCCCGCCCTCGTCCACGAGCGCGCCCCCGTCTGTCGCAGCGTGACTCCCGTCATGCGTGGGAGTGCTGCGGGTCGCACATGGCCCAGGCACGTTGTCAGACACCGTTTCTTTCGCCGGGGCGGGAGTCGCCTTCCTCAGCGTGGTCCGGCCTTCGGGAGGGAGTGGCTGCGGTTCGCTGTCCGTTCGGGCGGATTCGCTGACAGGGGAACGAGGGCGAATGGGCGCGAAGGGACTTCTCTCGACAAGCTGGCGGATGGCCTCGATGTCCTGCCTCTGCAAGGCGCGTTCGTGGTCCCCCAGCGAGGGGTCTTCGAGAATGCCAGGGGCGGCGGCGGGCGGAGTCGCAGCGGGGCGTTGTTGGGTCTCGCCGCCAACCAGATGTATCGACAGCCCCAGGCTTTGCAAGCAATGGGCTCCGCACCGGCCGTCGGCCACGGGGATGGCCTCGGAGGCGCTGGCTGGAGGGTCGGTGCCGATCGCAAACACGCGCCCGTCTGTGGCCCGCGCGCACGCACGTTCCAGCGTGAACTCCTGACCCTCGATGTTGCGAGGAGGCTCGGGATATCCTCCACCATCCGCTCGGGGAGGCGTCGCGGAACTATTCTCGGGTGGAGGCTGGTCTCCGACCGCGGGCGCCCCCTCAGCAGCAATCCCGCCTCTCGCCACGATGCTGTTGCCAGGGGGGGAGCAATGGGCTATGAGTTGGTGGCCGACAGCCCCGGCGACTGGCAATGCGATAGCTTGAGTTCGCGCCGCAGCAGCTTGAGCCACAACCGCTCGAGCCTCAACAACGAGACCGCCCCCGGGACGCTGATAGGAGTGAGGGGCTGTGGGAGCGCCTGCTTGGTCGTCTCCTGGGCGGGAAGGCACCAACGCGCTGTGGCTGATGACCGCCTGTTCGGTTTGTAGCTCTCCCAGGGGACTACTGCAGCTGAAGGCCGCACGTTCCGGCGTGAACTCCTGACTCTCTATGCCGCGAGGAGGCTCGAGATATCCCCCATCATCCGCTCGGGGAGGCGTCGTGGACCTCCTTTTCGGGGGCAGGCTGGTCTCCGAGCGCAGGCGCGCCCTCAGCGGCATTCCCGACTGTCGCCACGATACTGTTGCCAGGGGGGCACGCAATTTCGGCCGCATCTTCCGCCTCAACAACGAGACCGCCCCCGGAACGCTGATGGGAGTGAGGGGTTGTAGGAGCGCCTGCATGGTCATTTCTTGGAGGGGAAGGCACCGGCGCGCTGTGGCTGACGACCGCCTGTTCGGGCCGTTGCACTCCCAGGGGACTACTGCAGCTGAAGGCCGCACGTTCCAGTGTGAACTCCTGACCCTCGATGTTGCGACGAGGCACGAGATGTCCTCCACCATCCGCTCGGGGAGGCGTCGTGGACCTCTTGTCGGGAGGAAGCTGGTCTCCGACCGCGGGCGCCCCCTCAGCAGCGCTCCCACCTGTCGCCGCGATACTGTTGCCAGGGGGGGAGCAATGGGATATGAGGCGGTGCCCGACAGCCCCGGCGACTGGCAATGCGATAGCTTGAGCTCGTGCCGCAACGGCTTGAGCCCCAACCGCTTGAGCCTCAACAGATACGCCTTGGAGTCTCGAGCAGAAGCCTCGTCCCGCCTGTGACTCCCGAGCTGAAGGCTCGTCCCTTCTGAAGCTGCGAGATGCGCCTTGGAGACTCGAGCTGAAGGCTCGTCCCTCCTGTGATTCCCGAGCTGAAGGCTCGCCCCGTCTGTGACTGTCAGCTTGGAGGGCGGGCGAGGGACGGGAGTCCGCGGGATTAAAAGGATGCCCAGGGAGCTGATTGGCAGCCGTGCCGCCGTCAACGCCCATCTGCCCATTTAAAGACTCCCGGGCTACAGGCCCCTCCACTCTCGCTGCTTCGCACGGCGCCCCCCGGGCTGAAGGCCCGTCTTCTGCGTGCGCAACCTGGTCGCGCCCAGGGGAGGCGGCGGGCGGAAGGCGGGGGCCGTTTTGACGTAGGCTCAGGTCAGCTGGAGGGGTCGGTTGCGCGACCAGGACGGAGGCCTCCACGGTCAAGGGATCGACCCCCTCGCAGCTGAAGGCTGCTCCTCTCTGTCTTGGCGCGTCCAAGGGAGGGTGGTCGGCGGAGCGTGGGCGTGAGCCAATGGGATGTGGATCGGGGACGTGGGCGGACTGCGTTCGGTCCACCCACCCATCATCACCGCTGCCACCCCACTGGGCAGCCTCAAGCACAGGCCATCCACCCTCGTTGGACAAGCTCCTGGGCCGATCTTCGAGAATGCCGCCGTCGCTCATGGCCACAGTCTCTGCGGCGCTCTCGGTGTCCATGGGCATCGTCTCTGGTTCTCGAGCTGAAGGCTCGTCCCTTCTGAAGCTGTGAGATACGCCTTGGAGACTCGAGCTGAAGGCCCGTCCCGCCTGTGACTCCCAAACTGAAGGCTCGTCCCGTCTGCGACTGTCAAGAATTTCCTCTTCCAACCCCCTATCGTCGTCGTGGTCGTGCTCGTGCTCGTGGTCGTGGTCGTGGTCGTCGTCGTCGTCGTCGAGGCGACGGCGTCCGTGGAGGTCGTCGTCGGCGGCGTCGGCGTCGTGGTGGTCGTGGTCGTAGTCGTCGTCGGCGTAGTCGTCGAGGTGACGGCACCTCCTGAAGGCCTGAGGATGCAGTAGGTGATGATGTTGGGCTCCAGCTGCACGTTCGCCATCACGCTCAGCAGTGCCACAGTCTGCAACCACTGCCGACGACTGCTCTTCTCGCACTCGCCGTTCACAGTGACGTGCGTGTTGATGTTGGGCTCCAGCTTCACGGCCACAATCTCTCCCAGCAGCGCCACCACCTGCTGCCGCAGCTGGAACCTGTTCTTCTCGCAAGCGCTCTCCACAGTGCCGTTGGTGATGATGTTGGGCTCCAGCTGCGCGTCCACCATCTCGCTCAGCAACGCCATTGCCTGCTGTCACTGCCAACGCCCGCCCTTCTCGCACCAGCTGCTCTGGATGTGGTAGGTGATGATGTTGGGCTTCAGCTGCAGGAGCGCCATCTCGCTCAGCAGCGCCACACTCTGCAACCACTGCCGACGACTGCTCTTCTCGCACGCGCTGTTCACAGTGACGTAGGTGATGATGTTGGGCTCCAGCTTCACGGCCACAATCTCGCCCAGCAGCGCCACATCCTGCTGCCACTGTTGACGCCTGCTCTTCACGCGCGCGCTCTTCGCAGTGCCGTAGGTGATGATGTTGGGCTCCAGCTGCACGTTCGCCATCACGCTCAGCAGCGCCACACTCTGCAACCACTGCCGACGACTGCTCTTCTCGTGCGCGCCGTTCACGATGACGTACGTGTTGATGTAGGGCTCCAGCTTCACGGCCACAATCTCTCCCAGCAGCGCCACAACCTGCTGCCACAGCAGGCGCCTGCTCTTCTCGCAAGCGCTCTTCACACTGCCGTTGGTGAAGATGGTGGGCAGGATGAAGAGGGTGATGATGTAGGGCGCCATGAAGAGGGTGATGAGGTAGGGCGCCAAGATGATCGGCGACGGCGGCAGCGGTCCCAGCAGCGGCCGCGGCCGTCAGCCCGGCCGAAAGGGGGGAGCCCCCGTCGGCGCCAGCGCCAACGGCGACAGCGGCGGCGTCCGCGACGAGGCGAGACGCGGCGGCCACGGCCGCCGAAAAGGCGGCGGCCGCCGCCGCCGGCGGAGCGGCGGGAGGCAAGGCCGCAACGGCAACGGCCACGGCTGCGTCAGCGGCCGCCGACGCGGCGCGGCCGAGGGCCGAGGCCGCGGCGCTGCCGGCGGCGCCAGCGGCGCGAGCCGCGGCGCTGGCGGCGCGCGCAGCGGCCGCCGAGGCGTCGGGGGGGGCAGCGGCGGCGGCCGTGGCCCCGAGAGGGCCGGCGGCCGCGCCCGCGGCATCCAGAGGGCCGACGGCAGCAGCCCAGGCGCCGAAGGGGCGGGCGGCACCGCGGGCGCGGGCCGCAGCAGCATTGCGCTGCCGCCACCGCCGCGCTGAGACGGACTCCATCGCCCGCGGCGAGGGGCCCCGGGAGGGGGAGGCCCGAAGGGGTGACCCCTCCCGGCGCCCCGCAGGCGGCCCGCCGGTCGGGCGGCCGCCGGCCCGCGGGCGCAGCAAACCAGCTAGGCCCCCTTGAGCCAGAGCGGCTTGAGCCGGAGGGCTACGGAATGGTGGGAGATGGTGGGGATACGCGAAGCGTCAAGAATTCGAACATTGTCACTACATGCAGATTGGATGGTAAAAACTATTGGGCCCCTTGAGTTCCGGACCCTTGGGGGGTATTTCTCACAGCAGTACTTCGCTGCCAAAAGATATCGGCACCGTGCTGCCGAGCACCGCACTGGATGCCCGAAACAGTGCGCGCGAGCCACCACTGCCACACCCCAGCGTCCGCTGCCAAGAACGCCGACGTCACAACGGGCTCACCCATGCCAGGGTTCTGGCTCTGGGGGCGGCGCAGGCCCTCTCCAGGGCCAGTGGGGGCTCCCAAATGGAGTCCGACTGGCTGGGGTCGGAGCGCGCCGCCGCATCCCCGATGCATCGTCGACGGCAAATGCTGGCGATGCGTCGGCGCCGCTGGCGTGGAGAAAACCGGGCTCCACGTCGAGCCGCATCGCCGACGCGCGGCCAGGGGGGTGGGGATATTTCAGGTGGGATGGGTGAAAGGGGGGGTGGAGGACGAGGACGAAGAGGAGGTGGCGAAGGGGGGGGGGTCGGAGGTAGGGCCTGAGAGGGGTCGTGGTCGGTGCGGGCGTCCACGCGCCACGCGATGCAGTGTTGAGTCTTGCCCTGCCTGGCCAAGCCGAAAGCTACGCATGCAGCGCGGTGCTGCGCCTGTATATATGCTCGCCCCTTGGCGTGGGGCTGGCGGGGGGCCACGGGGCCAGGGGGCGAGCTGTCCAGTGTTTATTGCTGTTGTTGCTGTTCTTATAAAAATCTCACTACTGAAGAATGATTATTGTTGATCCCCCCCTCCGGTGACCATTGTGTTTTTTCACTTGAAGTGTTCCCCCCGGGGCTCGCACCCTGTTTTTTCTTAGGGGAACTCACTGGGTTCAAACTGGGTGGTCGGCACCCGGATTGCAACAACAACGGCTCCCGCCGTAGACTTCCCAGCAATTTAGCCCAGACCCCCGCTCCCGCCTAATATTTCTTCGCATGTCACTCAGGAGTCGCACTCTCGCCTGGGACTTCCATACAATGTATTCATGAATCGTTCTCTCGGCGCTCTGGAGTCGCGCTCTCGCTGGAGACTCGCTTGCAATGTACTCAAGAATCGCGCTCTTGCGTTCGCACTCACCGCAATTTACTCGAGCGCCGCGCCCCCGATACTCAGGCACCCTGGAGTCGCGCTCACGCTTAGGACTCCCTCATAGCTTACTTGGGGATCGGGATCTCGCTGCCCCTCGCGGCCCTGGTGTAGCCCTTCGTGGCCCCGTTGCAACCTTTCGTGGCCCCCTCGCTGCCCTTCGTGGCCCCGTTGCAACCCTTCGTGGCCCCATTGCAGCCCTTCGCGGCCCCATTGCAGCCCTTCGCGGCCCCCTCGCTGCGCTTCGTGGCCCCGTTGCAACCTTTCGTGGCCCCCTCGGTGCCCTTCGTGGCCCCGTTGCAGCCCTCGCTGCCTTTCGTAGCCCTGTTGCAACCCGTCGTGGCACCCTCGCTGCCCTGCGCGGCCCCGATGCAACCCTTCGTGCCGTCCCTCATGGCCTCCATCGCTGCCCGTCGTGGCCCCATGTATGCATGCCCTTCGTGGCCCCCGCTCGTTCGCGCCCGTCGTGGCCCCACATGCACGCCCTTTCGCGGCCCCGCCGTCGCCCTTCGCGGCCCCCTCGCTGCCCTTCGCGGCCCCGTCGCTGCCCTCAGCGGCCCCGTCCTTGCCCCCCTCTGCAGCCCAATGTGCGCACGCCCTTCGTGGCCCCCGCTCGTTCGCGCCCGTCGTGGTCCCATATGCACGCCCTTCGTGGCCCAACTGTCGCCCTTTGTGGTCCCCTCGCTGTCGCTACCCTCATTGGCCCCGTCGTTGCACTTCTGTGGCCCCGCATTATGAACCCTTCGCGGCCCCCGCTCGTTTGCACCATTCGTGGCCCCATTCGCATGCCTTTCGTGGCCCTGCTGTCGCCCTTCGTGGCCCCCTTGCTGCCCTTCCTGGCCCCATCGCTGCTCTTGTGGTCCCGCTGTCGCTCTCGCTCTCGCTCTCGCTTTCGCTCGTCGTCGTCGTCCTCGTCGTCGTCGTCGTCGTCGTCGGTCCCCATGTCCGTCTCTCTTGGGGTCAGGTTGCCGCGGGTCAGCGCTGCCGCTGCCCAAGCCGACGGTCCGCGGCCGCCCCGCCGCTTGCCAGGGTCCGGCCTGCAGGGAAGAAATATAGATCCCCCAAAGGGGGTTCGATCGAAGACGAAGAGGGCAGGTATCGAGGGTTTGGGAAACACACGTTGGATGGCACTCGAGCAGATAAGAGCGAAAATTATTACAATGATTGTTGTTGTTGTGGTTGTTGTTGGTGGTGGTATTGTTGTTGTGGGTGTTGTTGGTAGTGTTATTGCTGTAGTTGCTGGTTGTGTTGTTGTGGTTGTTGGTGGTTTTGGTGTTGTTGGTCTTGCTGTTGTTGAACTCTCACTACTGAAGAATAATACTTGTTGATCCCCCTCCGGCAACATGTGTTTTGTAACTTGAAGTGCCCCTTTCCCAGGGCTCGCATCCTGCCTTTTATCAAGGAAAAGCTTCCTCCTCAAACTGCGCCCCTAGCCCCAGGACTGCAACAACAACGGCTCCCGCCTGATACTTCCCCGCAGTTTACTGAGGAATCGCGCCCTCGCTAGGGATTTCCTTGCATCGCGCTTTCGCTAATGACTTCCTCGCAATTCGTTCAAGCGCCACGCCTTCTCATTCAGGAATCGCGCCCTCTCTTGGAACCTCATCATAAATTACCTTGGAATCGCGCTCTCGCCAGAGATTCCCTGGCGAACTATGAAGGACCTACGGATTCGCGTAACATACGTGTTTGTTTCAATTGAAGTGCCCGGGACTGGCTGTGTTTTTACCCGGGCAGCTCTTCCTGATAAAACTGCGCCCATGCCCCCCTGACTACAACAACAACTGCTCCCGCCTGATACTTCCGTGCAATGTATTGAAGAACCGTGTTCTCGCTAGGGACTTCCTTGTAATTTATATAAGAATCGCGCTCTCGCCTGATACCTCCTCGCAATGTATGCAGGCGTCGCGCTTTCGACATTCAGGAATCGCGGAATCGCTTGGGACTTCCACGCAATTGATTCAGGCGCCGCGCCCTCGACACTCAGGAATCACGCTCTCGCTCTGGACTTCTTCAAGAGATTTATTTTGGAATCGCGCTGTCGCTCAAGGAATCCTCGCGATTCATGCAGGACTTCAGCAACCCGCCTGCTCGACCTGGCCGCCTGGGCCCGCCTGATAGGGTCTACCCGCCCGATCTGCCCGTCTGGTTCTGCTACATGTTTTCTGCTCCTAGCCCCCCTCATGCTACTCTCTCTCTCTCTCGTGCTCCATCCTCCTCTCTCTCCCCCTTGTCCTTTCCTTCCATCCGTCCTCTCTTCCCCTGCCTTAGGTGCTGCACGAAATACATGTAGCAGGTAAGAGATATACCCAAAAGGGGATACGATCGAAAACGAAGAGGGTGGGTATCGAGGCTTGGTGATATACGTGTTGAACGGCACGCGAGCAGATAAGAGCGAACAGTCTCAAACTGATTGTTGTTGCTGCTGTTGTTGTCTCTGTCTCTACTTCAAACGCATTTGAACAAGTGATGTCTGAGCTGTGCCCTCCTGTTTCGTTTAGACAAGTGCCTTCCACTACTCGCAAAGGAAATACTCGCAAATGGCCTGGATCCGCTGCGGGGGATCTACGACCCATTAGTGAGCGTTCTCTTTCTGTTTGGCGTGGATGCACCTTGTGTCTGAGCTGCGTTCATCATCCACCCCCGTCTGTGCTGCGCGCGCGCGAACGCATGAAACAGGTATGATTTTTGTTTCAGCCCCCTGACATGCTCGACACGGACGCCGTCAGTCGACTCGCGGGACCGCGCTGCCCAGGCGGACTGTGCCGCCCCCGGTGCCCTTGACGCAGCCGGAGACCCTAACGTTACGAGGCGGCGGGAGGAAAGAGAGACCAGGCGGGAGGATCCTCCAGATTTTTGGGGATGCCACACCCTCCCCGCCCCGGCCAGGTTCCCCCCCCGGGGCCACTTTCAGCATATACAAAAGCCACGCCCCAGGGACGGAAGTTTGCAGACCAGACCCACGACTAGGACCCTCATCTGCCCTCCAGGGCTTTCGGGTTCAGTCCACAGTGGGAGCTCTCGACCACAAGAAACCTTCCACGAGAAACCCAACCCTGAGACCCCAGGACGCCCACTGACTGTTGGTGTGGGAACGCCACGCTCCCCATGGCAGAGGCCATCGAGACCCAAGAAACACCCAGGGCACCGTGGAGGCGAGCAGGGTGCCTCTTGGCATGGGCCCCTCTCGTGCGGAGCGGAGGGCACGAGGCACACCCCGGCAGCAGCAGGAGCGCGCGCGAGCGGGCGCGGCGGCGAGCGCGGAGGCGCGGGGCGCCCCGCGCCGGGTGGGCCCCGCGACGGCCCCTCTCAGTCGGACACCCCGTGGTAGCTGCCGGTCGGGCTGCCGAGCACGCGGGGCACGCCGCCCGGCGGGGGCCCGCGGCCCCCGCGCGCGGCGAGCACCGACACGGCCGCGAGGCCTCCGCAGAGGCCGAGGGCGAAGGCCGAGGCGGCGGCCGCCGCCACCGGGGCCGCCGGGGGCGGCGGCGGCTGCGGCAGCGCCTGCGCGGAGGCGCCGCGCAGCGCCTCCGCGCGGGCACCTCGGGTCGCACGTTGCGCAGCCTGTGCTTCCCGCAGGGGCCCAGGGGCTCATGGTTTCCCATGCTTTCTGGGTTTTCGTCTTCCCCCCCCCCCCACCTCCTCCCCCCCCCCCCCCAGACACACACACCACACACACACACACACACACACATACACA